ATCAACAGCATAAGTATCAAATCTACTCATTTGGGATACGATGACATGTGTCAACCAAGTCAGCGAGCCATCTAATATTGCAGGTGTGTTATTGGGATAGTGTTCGTGTGTTTCTTAGTGTTAATGTCAGTGTGTGTGTGTGTGTGTGTGTGTGTGTGAGAGAGAGAGAGAGAGAGAGAGAGAGAGAGAGAGAGAGAGAGTGCGTGAGATAATTCGGTTTCGGTGTTACTGTATGTGTGTTTGTTAGTGTGTGTATGTTAGTGTATGTGTGTGTTAGTGTGTGTGTTAGTATATGTGTGTGTTAGTGTATATGTATGTGTGTTAATTCAGTGTTACTGTATATGTGTGTTAGTGTATGTGTGTGCGTTAATTTAGTGCATGTGTGTGTGTGTGGTAATGTATGTGTGTGATAGTGAATGTGTGTGTGAATTCGGCGCTACTGTATGTGTGTCTTAGCGTGTGTGTGTTAGTATATATGTGTGTGTTAGTTTATGTGTGTGTTAGTCTATGTGTGTGTTAGTATATATGTGAGTGTTAGTATATATGTATGTGGTAGCGTATGTGTGAGTGTTCACGAGTGTTCACGGCTGCGGGTTGTGTAAGACTCCACATGGCATAACTCTTTACAGATACACCCTGCAGTGACATGAAACTTTAGGCAATCAGAATATTTTCCGGTCCGAGAATGTGCTGGCCGCTCTGAACCCACACAACCAGCATCATCTTCTCCCCATCACCAGAGCTCCTGCTACCCACTCAGTGTTGTGTGTCAACAGAACATGCTCTGTAGCCACAGTAGACAACATATGCATACATGCTCTGGCATTTACCTATTGTTAGGCTACATTATATTCTACAAAGAACTAAATATTTCACTACTGACGTCAGGTATAAAATAATCAATGCTGTTTGACATATGATCAGTCCCTAAAGTTCACGTTCGAATGTATTTATACTGCAGGCACGATCTACTGGTTCGTCAATGGATTTGACAGTCTGACTATACGGCGGATCGTGAATAGACAATAACATGGTACAAAATGTTACTCACTCAGAACAAAACATCACGCTGAGTGGCAGGTCAAAATATTGGACTCTCACGATGTCCTTTAATGCTGCATATCTAGTAATAAAATATCACAGATACAGAGATGGGAGAGAAACAATGTCTTCAGCCTGAGACAAATAAATGTCTTACTGGCAAGTCTACACTACCCTCAGAAGGTAGGGGTTGAGGTGGTGTGTCTTACTGGCAAGTCTACACTACCATCAGAAGGTAGGAGGTGAGGTGGTGTGTCTTACTGGCAAGTCTACACTACCATCAGAAGGTAGGGGGTGAGGTGGTGTGTCTTACTGGCAGTCTACACTACCATCAGAAGGCAGGAGTTGAGGTGGTGTGTCTTACTGGCAAGTCTACACTACCCTCAGAAGGTAGGGGTTGAGGTGGTGTGTCTTACTGACAGTCTACACTACCATCAGAAGGCAGGAGTTGAGGTGGTGTGTCTTACTGGCAAGTCTACACTATCCATCCATCAGAAGGTAGGGGTTGAGGTGGTGTGTCTTACTGGCAGTCTACACTACCATCAGAAGGTAGGGAGTTGAGGTTGAGGTGGTGTGTCTTACTGGCAAGTCTACACTACCATCAGAAGGTAGGAGGTGAGGTGGTGTGTCTTACTGGCAAGTCTACACTACCATCAGAAGGTAGGGGTTGAGGTGGTGTGTCTTACTGGCAGTCTACACTACCATCAGAAGGTAGGAGTTGAGGTGGTGTGTCTTACTGGCAGTCTACACTACCCTCAGAAGGTAGGGGTTGAGGTGGTGTGTCTTACTGGCAGGCTACACACTACCCTCAGAAGGTAGGGGTTGAGGTGGTGTGTCTTACTGGCAAGGTCTACACTACCCTCAGAAGGTAGGGTTGAGGTGGTGTGTCTTACTGGCAAGTCTACACTGAGGTGGGGGTGAGGTGGTGTGTCTTACTGGCAAGTCTACACTACCATCAGAAGGTAGGGGTTGAGGTGGTGTGTCTTACTGGCAAGTCTACACTACCCTCAGAAGGTAGGGGGGTGGTGAGTTGGTGTGTCTTAGAAGGTAGGGGCAAGTCTACACTACACTACCCTCAGAAGGTAGGAGGTGAGGTGGTGTGTCTTACTGGCAAGTCTACACTACCATCAGAAGGTAGGGGTTGAGGTGGTGTGTCTTACTGGCAGTCTACACTACCATCAGAAGGTAGGAGTTGAGGTGGTGTGTCTTACTGGCAAGTTTACACTACCCTCAGAAGGTAGGGGTTGAGGTGGTGTGTCTTACTGGCAGTCTACACTACCCTCAGAAGGTAGGGGTTGAGGTGGTGTGTCTTACTGGCAGTCTACACTACCATCAGAAGGTAGGAGTTGAGGTGGTGTGTCTTACTGGCAGTCTACACTACCATCAGAAGGTAGGAGTTGAGGTGGTGTGTCTTACTGGCAGGTCTACACTACCATCAGAAGGTAGGAAAAGCATTTACATTGTGAATGATATATTATGAAGTTATCATCAATGTGAAAGATATACGAGGCAGTATTTTCACTGAGAAAAATATATCTGCGAGACAGTGCCTACATTGGGAATGATATATCTGAGAGACAGTGCCTACATTGAGAATGATATATCTGAGAGACAGTGCCTACACTGTGAATTGTATGTCACAGAGGGAGTATTATATCTACATCGTAAACTATATTCAAGAGAGACAGTGTTTACATTGTGAATCATACTTATATAAATACCTAGTTGATTGTAAGTAAGTTAATTGATTATCATACCGTTAACAATATGATGTAAATTGTCGGCAGAAGATGAATTGAGAAACCTATTTCTCGCTGAATAAAGTACAAAAGTTCATTGGAGATTTACAATCTTGAAACGTCGCCGTGTCCTTGACCTTCCTGGGCATTGTGACCCCGCATGCCTGGCATGTAAATGATACTACTTGAGATCTAATGTCAGCATTGTGAGCAGTTGTCCACTAGCAGCGAGTGGGAATGACCATAATTACACCAGTTATAGATAATTAGAGAAATAGATTAGTGCAATTAATTACCATCCATAGCCACGTGTGACGTGCAGCCGCCATGATGAGGGAAGACGGTACAGCCCACTGTGCGTTATAGATTAGAGAAGGAATGTCGTCACTTCTAAACTTACTGATGGATGTAAAATTTGGTTAAACGAAATGTTGGCGCTTCGGTTTCTGCTGACTTCAGGAAAGGTCACTAGATATGTTAGAGCGATTCACGTCAATCTTAGTTTGAGATTTCTTTAGAGACTTTGAAATTGACATGGAAAGTTAACATGAGTGACAGTCGTAATCTAGTTGGCGGGCACCAAATTGGATTGTCACTGGGCTCAACTAGGAAACTTGATATTACGTGATATCAGTGATACGATTACAACATGGAATTCAATTGATCAACAAATAAACACACCATTATCAAATAACATCATTAATATACAATGATCACATAAATAGAAACATAAATGCACTACCATTCAAACATGAAAAAAACATATGATTTGAATGCAGTCGCTCATCCGTGTCATCCTCTGTACATAAAACTCTCGACACGAGAAGATGAACAACGAGTATATGAAACAGTAGCGCCTAATAAGAAGCCTTTTTAAATCGAATAGTGATGCATTAGATAGTACTTGGCGTGGATCTACCAGGGCATAAAACATAAAACATGTGGCGATGACTGTAGATGACTTGCCTATCCTGACACACTGTCTCATTTAGAGGCGATGGCACCCCGTATGTTACATTTTATACTCAAGAGTAGTCATAGTGGAAACATAATGTATTGACTCTACTGCAAGCTGGTATTGCAGATCGTCATGTGTATTCCTTCCACCAGCAAACACTTCACACGTGTAGGCGCTGTATGTGTGACACTTGCTGTTGTTGAGAGGCGGGAAAGGTGTTCTTTAATCACAACCAAATCTTATACTGTAAACAACATCTGCAGTAGACGCACGCCCTTCTGGTAGTGAAGATTTACGGAGCCTGATCTTCGCCATGCTGTCCGAATGAGGGGGATGGGGAGGGTTGAGCAGATGGGGGATGTTGGTGTTGTGAAAGTGTAATGCATTTCATCCCACATCTAATGGCGAAGCAGTTAATTTCCCCCAGCCTGGTAATGCAAAACGTCGCTCACTGTTAAGCTATTACTGAAATCGACATGACAGGCACACGTATAGATTATTCTCCTAGTTTGCCTATTTCACTCTTAATTGATACCTGTCAAACGGGGTAGTTGACGCAGAGACACTGCACGAAATATGTGAAATACTATGTGGGATTTAGTCCCGAATCAATAACGAAACAGCTGGCCCCCCTGCAATGTCTAACATGTTGTTTCAACATATGGGAAGCGACTGGTACGATCAGAACATTTCAATCGTTTGTTGTTAGGACATAAATTGCACATGTCTGCTTGATAGAAAGAGAAAGAGATTCCGGTGGAAATGAACAAAGACAGTTATTGGTGATAATCGAAACAAATCTTCCTTGCGACTCACGCAAGATGTTTTCTACATGACATTTACAAGGTATGTTAATTATCCAGGCGCGGCGACAGCAATCGACACGTAATGGACTGCCTTGCACAAATTGTTAAGATCACCGTGCAATGAAATTGAGTGCACACTGAATGAAATAAACACGCGAAGTCTTTATTTACGTACGAATAGTTTATGAAGCGAGGCAAGAGCCTGACGTCACTCCTTTCCCTGGAGAAGACATTGCTCTTGTCACTTTCACCAGGTGTAGCAATTACTGAAATCTACATGCCTACCTGCCGGTCACACTTGTGAGAGACACCTTGTGTGAAGGAACTTGGAAATGAAATGCAAGTAATTAATCTGCAGTGTCGCGCATCGCCAAGAAACTTCCCCCACATGATACTTAACATAAATAAATTATCTTGAATTGTCTATCGATATCTATCTACCTGTCTCAACCTCACCTTCGTCATACTCCTCGAAACACGGGGGGTCCTCCTCCCCTTCGTCCGAGGCGTCGTACATTGGGCTGGTACTGTGTCTCCCCTCAACAAAGTAAATATCCACTGCGGTACATCATGTAACTGTCTCCTGTGCGTTCTACAAACATGTCACAATACAATCCCTCGGCTGTCTGGCAAAGCGACTATGTCCAAGTCCCATAGGGGAGACGTCACTTGACTGAAGAAAGAACCGCACACTCACCAATCACACCATCATCGTTATAGAACAATGGTAGCACAGCGGGCGAGTACAAACAACAATATTTGGAAGTTTTCTAAAAAAAATTAGCCAAAGTCAATTTTATCTATGTTGTGGCTACTCCCTGGCACCGTCCTGATGTGACCCAATGTTCGAAGCGACGTGCCGATGAGAGACAAGCGATTTGATTGGTTGACAAGAACGGAGAAAGTAGTACCGCATCTTCGGCTCCAGGTACATTATCGATCGAGGATTTCTTCGTATGTCAACGGTTAATTTCTGAGGACGAGGACGGGGGACAATTCGTGAGCTCACGTGCTGTCACTGCTGGACGTAGTAACGATCGCCGCAACATTGCTGAAGTCTGCAAATACCGGTAGTCACATCTCTGAGAGCAACTTCCACATAAGGCCCTTTAAGAGATTATGGACGTGCACTCTACCGAAGAAGCTCTATTACCGTTGCTAATGGTTTTATGTGGTAGCGCCAATCACGAAGCAGTGATGTTTATAGTCAGCTGATCAAGATAGCCTGCACATGTCGCCAGCACGGGTGTCAGTGTTCCGCTGGACGCAGGTTGTAGCGGCAAATCTAGATAGACAAGGTCCGCCAGCTGTTGTGACCAAGGCCTCCGATGCGGATTTTGAATATTAGAAGTATTTTATAAGCTGTATTAATTAGGCCAGTCTGTTGGTCAATATATCGCCATACTGCGCATAAACGATTACTGTTTGTGACAAATACGCGAGAATTACATCACGATATAAGTATTTTTAATTTGTTAGTCACCTTGAGCTTTATGTATGCTTTGGAAAGCCATTTGCTGTATTGTTAAAATATCTGTTGAACATGTGGCATACACATGGTTTCTTCACACAGTGTATCAACTGTTTCACATGTGGTGACGCTCTTATTGCAGTGATCACCAAGTACCATTGTCATACCCTATAAGATCCGGGTAAGAATTGGTCTTCATCAACCCATGTTTGTTCTTAGAGGCGACTAATGGGATAGATTTGGTGGTGAGACTCGCTGACTTAGTTCATAGGCATGCCATCATATCCCAATTGCAGACAACCCTGAAACAGCTGGAATAATGAGTGAGTGAGTTAAGTTTGACACAACTTTTAACAATATTCCAGCTATATCACGGCGGGGGGACACCAGAAATGGGCTTCACACATTGTACCCATGTGGGGAATCGAACCCGGGTCTTCGGCGTGACGAGCGAACGCTTTAACCACTAGGCTACCCCACCGCCCCTGGGATAATGAACCAACAAGGGCAATTACAATCGCATCAGATAAGACATGTATATCTGTAGATGCAGTCTGTGGGAATCTAGGAAACCTAGGCGACCCAATAGTTGATTGGGTTTGTCTCGTCCAGATTCAAACGTGATACAGCTAAAACAGAACCGACACAGCAAACAGGTAACGCCCACGCAGCAGACAGACATGACGGTGAGAACACGTGTTACATCACACATGACACTCTACCCGTCTTCACTGCGCTTACATCGCAAGTCAGTCAGAAACATGACCACTGATCCAGGTCGTATTCTCTGACAGGACACAATCAAGTACAATATACATCACAGGGAAGTATTGATAAAACGTGCTTCTCGTCAAATTTAATATTGATTGACCTATATAACTGTAACACCATATCTGTACAACATCCGACACCACATGTGTTACCGTGGACAATGTCCATGAACGCATGATCATCAGATATCACACTGTACGTGTTCGTTGGATCATCAGATATCACACTGTATCTGTACGAGTTAGGATCATCAGATATCACACTATACCTGTACGAGTTAGGATCATCAGATATCACACTGTACGTTTTCGTTGGATCATCATATATCACACTGTACCTGTACGAGTTAGGATCATCAGATATCCCACTGTACGTGTACGAGGTAGGATCATCAGATATCACACTGTACGTGTACGAGTTAGGATCATCAGATATCACACTGTACGTGTACGAGGTAGGATCATCAGATATCACACTGTACCTGTACGAGTTAGGATCATCAGATATCACACTGTACCTGTACGAGTTAGGATCATCAGATATCACACTGTACCTGTACGAGTTAGGATCATCAGATATCACACTATACCTGTACGAGTTAGGATCATCAGATATCACACTGTACGTGTACGAGTTAGGATCATCAGATATCACACTGTACCTGTACGAGTTAGGATCATCAGATATCACACTATACCTGTACGAGTTGCGATCATCAGATATCACACTGTACGTGTACGAGGTAGGATCATCAGATATCACACTGTACGTGTACGAGGTAGGATCATCAGATATCACACTGTACGTGTACGAGGTAGGATCATCAGATATCACACCGTACCTGCACAAGTTATGATCATCAGATATCACACTGTACGAGTACTTAGGATCATCAGATACCACACTTTACATGTACTTAGCATCATCAGATGTCACACTTTACATGTACTTAGGGTCATCAGATGTCACACTTTACATGTACTTAGCATCATCAGATATCAACGTGTACGAGTACTTAGGATCATCAGATATCACACTTTACCTGTACGAGTTATGATCATCAGATATCACACTGTACGTGTACGAGTACTTAGGATCATCAGATCATCACGAGTACTTAGGATATCACACACTGTACCTGTACGAGTTATGATCATCAGATATCAACGTGTACGAGTACTTAGGATCATCAGATATCACACTGTACCTGTACGAGTTATGATCATCAGATATCAACGTGTACGAGTACTTAGGATCATCAGATACCACACTTTACATGTACTTAGCATCATCAGATATCACACCGTACGTAGGTTCATCAGATATCACACTGGATGGATGTAGGTTTTAAAAAAACAGTATGGGAACTTAGGCTTTAGACGCAGGTAAATCGGTTAAGTCACTTAAGACGAACACGTTTTTGATAGAAAATATGGATTAAGTCAACATGGTCCAGTATTTCGGGTTTTTTTATTGAAAACATTGGCAATGTCTAACATTCTGTCAAATCATTTATAAACGTCTAATTCATTCCATCCGAAATGTTTCATAAACAAAGCTAAAAGGATACCAACACATTGTAAGAATATTAATTTGTTGTTGAGTTCATTGTTTTCTGCATTCTGATTGGCTGAACTAGTCGCGTGTTGCTGCACGCATTTCCAAATTAATGTAAACAAGTCAGCCACGCCCAGCCAAGTGGACTGCTTTCACCACTACAGATTGTCAGAAAATCCCATCAAGTTGAAGGAATCCCCTTCCTATGTCATTCGTGCACAATACATTTTAGCAATGTTCATACAACATATTCCAGGTCATTCAAGCCACCTTACTATACCTGATGCCCAGAAGAAATTACACAATATGCATGTAGAGCAGGCATGCAGGCTCACTCGCATGATTTTTGTTTCTTGTCTGAGTAACAAAAATGAAAGGTTTTATTCCTATGGCGCATTATTTCATTCTTGACAACCCGTTGCCGGGAAACCAATGCTTGAATTTGGCAGTTACTGACTGTCTCCGTTAAAATAGCCGCCTTCTTCCTCAAATACTCAGGATTGGCCTCTTACCATGATTGGCAGGTCCCATGAACGATTTTACTCTCCGTTGATTGGCTACTGACTTTGTGGGCGTGTTAAGATACACCTCACGTCATAACATGTATTCCTGCAATGTTTATTAATCTCGTAATTTCTGTCTGCTTTGATTTATATAAAAACAATTTATGAAACCATTGAAGATATCAGATATATTTCATTGTCCAATCTAATTATAAGGTGACGGTGTAACCGAGGTACAAAGTGAAGTTATATCGTAGCGGGTTCTTAAGGTTTGCACGTCGGTTTTAAATTCATCCGTTAATGAACTGAAAATAAAAACATAGTCAATCCTTAAATGAATAACACCTGCATTTCACGACCGGAGGTAGATGACAATGGTCACTATGACCAGTCAAGACCTGTATCAAGCCGGTCTGTATATAGTCGAGTCTGGATAAGACCAGCCAGTGATTGAAACAGAAGCATGAACAACACCCCACGTCATCTGGTCACCACGGCAGCCCAGCACCAATCAGGGAAACCGGTGTCACAAAAAATCCATAATCCATGCAGGAAATGACTCCTTTAGATGATAAAGACATGACGTGAAGCCTGAGTGAGTGAGTGAGTGAGTATGGTTTTACACCGCTTTTAGCAATATTCCAGCAATATCACGGCGTGGGACAGCAGAAATGGGCTTCACGCTTAGTACCCATGTGGGGAATCGAACCCGGGTCTTCGGCGAGCCGAGCGGACGCTTTAACCACTGGGCTACCCCACCTCCCCTGAGAAACCTGAACCACAGCGAATGTCTCTAAACAATAACATGACTGAACCATAAGTGTTGCGTCTGAACCACTACGTAGGTTTCTGAACAATAACATGACTGAACCGTACAAGTTGTGTCTGAACGTTAAATGTTGTTTCTGAATCACTACGTATGTTTATGAACAATAACATGTGTATCTGAACAATAGATGTTGTGTCTGAGAACCATCATACGCATCTGAACATTGCATCTGAACATGTATGAACCTGACCTACGTATCACAGCCATAGTGTATATCTGTCTGCATGACGTACATATTAAAAGCACAGCATATGTCTGCTTGACGTATGCAGCTGAAACATAGCGCATACGTATTTCAGCATGACGTATGTATTTGAATGATATTGCAACATGACGTATGCGGGAGAAACATCTGTCATCATGACGTATGCACCTGAAGTAGAGCGTATACACAATTCAGCATGACGTATGTCCCTTAATCATAGCGTGTATATATCAGCATGACGTATGCACCTGAAACAAAGCGTGTATATATCAGCATGACGTATGCACCTTAAACATAGCGTGTATATATCAGCATGACGTATGCACCTTAATCATAGCGTGCATATATCAGCATGACGTATGCACCTTAATCATAGCGTGCATATATCAGCATGACGTATGCACTTTAAACATAGCGTGTATATATCAACATGACGTATGCACCTGAAACAAAGCGTGTATATATCAGCATGACGTATGCACCTTAAACATAGCGTGTATATATCAGCATGGCGTATGTACCTTAAACATAGCGTGTATATATCAGCACGACGTATGCACCTTAAACATAACGTGTATGTATATATCAACTGACGCGTATGCACCTTAAAACATAACATAACGTGTATATATCAACATGGCGTATGCACCTTAAACATAGCGTGTATATATCAGCATGGCGTATGTACCTTAAACATAGCGTGTATATATCAACATGACGTATGCACCTTAAACATAGC